AAAAAAAAAAAAAAAAAAAAAAAAAAAAAAAAAAAAAAAAAATCAGCCGAATGAGGACACCCAAGCCTAAGTTGAGAGGTCGAAAGAAAAAAAAGCCTCCAATGTAAATTAATGAGAAAGCACCATGTATTACAAAAAGAATGGTGTAAGGCACTCCATGTAGAGAAAATAAACTGTACGTTATCATGAAAAAAAAAAAAAATAATTTGAGGAATTCTTATGTGAGAACAATCTGCTACTCCTTTCTTTCAATAAGGCCCAAAAGCGAGATCTTCAGGCATTAGTCCACAAAATATTGGCTTTCTCCTTAAACCATCTGCCGGAAAGCAACTCTTAAAGGCCATCAACTATGTTTTTGGGGGTTGCCTAGCCAGATTGAAAGTATTTAGGATGAAGCACTGCCCCCTTATATGCAAACCAACAATGGAGGAAAGGGAGGTTACTAGATTCAGAATTCTAGCTGCAAAGGAAGCAAATAATGGGAGAAAGAGTCAATTTTGGATGTCTTCTTTGCACCCTATCTAAGGTATCCAAGCTGCTATGTGCTAGAGACCAAATGAATTCTTTTCCTTTTTTTGGTCTATTCCCGACCCAAATTAGCTTGAATCTGATGGAGTTAAGCAGTGCTTCCAAAAAGTAAATTAGAAGCTGATTTACTGGAGAACAGCCCCTAAGCCTATGGAGTCCAGAAAATTTGATTGTCTTCTTCATTTGGCCTTTTTCATTCTTCGATTGTTCGGCCTCTTTCCTTCTAGGATTCTTCGAAGAGAGTTAGCAACTTCTAGACTTGACATGTAGAAGAAGTGGATAGGATTATAGTGATTGTATGCTGGCATGACAGCTTTGTGTTCACTAGTAGGATGCATGTATTGAAGTCCTTAATTTCTAAGGTTTTGTGATAAGTCCGGATTTTGTGGCATACTAGTTTCACGGTTGTCCTTTGGAGCCTTGTTTCTCTTTGGGCATTATCTGCCCAAGATTTTTGTAATTACCCACTAATTCGGATTACTTTGGATTGGAACCCCTTATTGCCAAAAGACAAGTATTTCTTGAGTGCTTATCCTTTCCTTTTCCATTTTAATGAATAAAAAAGAAAAATCCTTCCCTATGCTATATGAATCATTGCGAGTAAGAACTATTTTGTGAAATTAGAACTATATTACACTTAGTTTATCCCCTTTGTGTTTGGGGTTGATAGATTGTGACCCTTTATTGTACTAAGTATGGCAACCTGGATTATTTTTGGTCTTCTCTTCGCTTGCATTTCACTTCTCCCATTAATCTCTTTTCTTTTCTTTTATTTGTTTCACATCAATTAGACTCCCATTCACCTTTTTAGTATCTTTGGCCATTGCGTGAGGATATACATATACTCATCTTTCTGCAAATTCTTTTGTATGTGGATGTGCTTGTTCAGAAGAAGAGTGAGAACCTAGCAATTTCATCTGGAGAACAAACAGATGCTCTTAACCCTGAAAATAAGAATACTTTGGGTAAAGGAAGTAATTTATCGGCTCACCAAACTGCTGCAAATAATGCCGATATCATGTACATGGAAGAGTTCGATGCCTCCATTGCTACCTTAAACATTGTAAGTTCAATGTATCTTCTGGAAAAAAAAAAAAAATTCAATTATTGAGATGTGACAATTTTAAAACGTCTGTTTACAGGCTATTGTATGGTTCAATCTTCATGAGTATGCAAAGGCGTTAGCAGTTCTTGAACCTTTATATCAAAATATTGAACCCATATATGAGGTACTGGAGTTTATTGATTATATTGGTGGTGGGAATCCTCTTTTAATTGCTCTATTAATATGCAGACCACAGCTCTTCGTATTTGCTTTTTGCTGCTGGATGTTGGATTAGCCTCCCGTGATGCATCATTGTCTGCAGTAAGTGGCTGTATTAGATTTTTGTTTATCGCTTGCAGACTTTAAATTTTAGTAGTCTTGTAGTGGCTGATTTTTATATGTTGCTAATACTTGTTAACTTGTCTCATTATGTAGAAGAATTACATATTTTCATGTTGGTCTGCTTTATCATTTCCTGTAATTAAATCTTGATTTTTTACCAAACTTGCACTAAAAGTTATGAGCATCACAGTTGTTTTATCCTTCTGCCCGGACAGTTGTACTACCTTCATTTCCGTGTAAGGTTAGATTCTTTGCAAGTTGAATTTAAATAAATTGAAAACAGTATAGTCCTCTACAATAGCCTTCCTATTCGTGTTAGAAAATGTCATGTGCTCTTTCTCTATATTTTCTGGAATTTGTACCATCTGTTCTTGGTATGTGTTCTTACTCTGTTGTCTTTAATGGAACTGTTATCTGCCATCAAATGCGTGACGATATATTCAAAACGGTTTTCTCATGTATTTTTGTCAGGATGTTCTACTTTATCTGGAAAAAGCTTTTGGGGTTACCAATGCGATCCAGAGTGAAACTGGAAGTACAGGGGCACAACAATCCACAAATGTGGTTGCAAAATCTTCATCTGTTCCTAGCAATGCTTCTGCCTCCGAACCTTCTAATACAGATATAGCCGCAAGTGTCAATTCCTTGGAGAGTCCTCTATCAAGAACTTTGTCAGAGGAGACATTTGAGTATGAGTCCATGTTATCAACGTTGGATATTGGTGGACAGAATTTACCAGCACAGGCTGGTTTTTCATCCTCAAATGTTCTTTTAAGGACACCAGTTTATCGGTCTCTATCTACTGTTGATCTCAAGCTTAAACTGCAACTATATAAGGTTCGCTTTCTTCTTCTCACTAGAAATTTAAAGCAAGCAAAGCGCGAAGCAAAGCATGCCATGAACATTGCTCGTGGGATAGATTCATCCATGGCTCTTCTCTTAAAGGCTGAACTTGAATATGCCCGTGGCAACCATCGCAAGGCCATGAAGCTACTACTGGCATCAGGTAACCGGACAGACATGGGGATTTCAAGTATGTTAAACAACAACCTTGGCTGCATATATAATCAACTGGGGAAGTATCATACATCTACTGTAGTCTTTTCCAAAGCTGTATCTAGTAGTTCGGCTCTTTGGAAGGATAGAAAACCAAAGACTGTTTCACAAGACAACTCTCTTCTTATCGTGTATAATTGTGGTGTTCAGTACTTGGCTTGTGGAAAACCACTTCTTGCTGCCCGATGCTTCCAAAAAGCCGGTTTGATTTTCTATAATCGCCCTCTGTTGTGGCTCCGACTTGCTGAATGCTGCTTAATGGCTTTAGAGATGGGGCTGCTAAAGGACAACCTTGCTGAATCCGATAGATCAGATCTCAAGGTTCATGTTGTTGGAAAGGGAAGATGGAGACAGCTTGTATTGGAGGATGGAATTTCGAAAAATGGATGTGCGTTTTCCTCTGGAAAAGAAGCTGGACAATTCAGCAGCGAAGGACAACCTAAGCTGTCAATTTCTTTTGCACGGCAATGTCTCTGTAATGCTATGTACTTGTTAAACCATTCGAAGACGAGCTTTTCGAATTCTGTCGTGGCCTCTAATTCTTCCTTGGAGGAAAAAGATTCAAGTGAAGTGGCACCGTCAAGGAGAAATTATAAGAACTTACACTGTATTGATTCCAAAGCTTCCCTGGTAACTTCAGGCTCTAATCAGATAAGTTCAAATGGTGATGCGAAAGAACAGAAAGGTGCTTCATCAATTCAGGAACTTGTGCAAAACTCCCTCTCCTACTATGATGAGATTACTCGGAGAGAAAACCTGTTGATTAAGCAAGCACTTCTTGCTAACCTGGCTTATGTGGAGTTGAAACTGGGAAACCCATTGAGAGCCCTAACACTTGGAAGGTCTCTCTTGGAGCTCCCAGAAAGTTCTAAAGTTTATACATTCTTAGGCCGCGTTTATGCTGCAGAGGCCCTTTGCTTGCTAAATAGACCAAAAGAAGCTGCCGAGCATTTACTATACTATTTATCTGAAGGAACTAATTCCAAATTGCCATTCAGTCAAGAGGACTGCGAGGTATGGCGAGTAGATGGGACTGCAGATCTTGAAGGGGCAAATGGAGGATCCACAACCGCTAATAGTTCATCTCAGGATGACCCTCACGGTATGAAGTTCCTCAGACCAGAGGAAGGACGGGCAGTCCTCTTTGCAAATTTTGCCACAGTTTCGGCTTTACAAGGGGAATTTAAACAGGCCCAAGAGTTTTTATCAGAAGCATTATCGATTATACCCAACAGTCCAGAAGCCAATATGACTGCAGTTTATGTCGATCTCGCTCTCGGTAAGTCCCAAGAAGCTATTGCCAAATTAAAACAGTGTAGTTGTGTAAGGTTCCTCCCCAGTGGATTGACAATGGAAAGATCTTCGTGATTGTTGTAACTGGTGGCTTTGTATTAATGTCCCGCCCTCCTGTTAGTGCTAGTCAATGGGCTAGTCGGCTAGATAGTAATCTTTAGGAGGAACATATGATATATAGCTCATTTCAGAGAATAAAATTGATGTTCAATTTTTTTCTTTTCTTTTTAATTTTCATCCCTAGGGTTCATTAGTAGTTGTGTATCTGTTTTTTGGTTAGTGGAGATGCTATCCTATTGTTACATTGAACGTTGATAGAGTTTTTCTTGAGAAAGAAATTGGAAAGAAGTATTTTTCTATTCCTCTTACCTTTATAATTTTCCAGAGCCAAGGTTCCCTATCTTGTTATTCTTGATGAATTCTGTCTTGTCAATCTTCTTTTATGTATTCATGAATGTGAGATTATAGTTTTGCAGTGTATCACTCGAGAGCGGGAGAGATGGTACACTCGAGAGCGGGAGAGATAGTAGTGTAAGGTAGGTGATGGAGAGTGTAACTGCCCCAAGTCTTCCAAGCTATCTGCGTTTCGTTCTCCTTCTCAACCGATGTGAGATCTCACAATCCACCCCCTTTGTGGCCCAGTGTCTTCGTTGACATTCGTTCCCTTCTTCAATCGATATGAGACCTCCCCAATCCACTCTCATTCGGGGTCCAACGTCCTTATTGACACATCGCCTCGTGTCCACTCCTTTCAAGGCTTAGCCTCCTCGCTGGCACATCGCATGGTGTACCATCTCGTGTCCACCCCTTTTAGACTCAGCCTCCTCGTCAGCACATCGCCCGATGTTTGATTTTGATACCATTTATAACAGTTTAAGCCTATCGTTAGAAGATATTGTCCCTTTTGGGCTTTCCCTTTTTAGTTTTTCCTCAAGATTTTTAAAATGCGTCTACTAAAGAGATGTTTCCACGCCTTTAAAAATAATATTTCGTTCTCTTTTCCAATCGATGTGAGATCTCATAAAGACGGACATGATATGATATGAAAACACAAGACACATGGGGTTAGTCAGTCATGTGCTCTCTCATCTTACAACTTTTTTTTGTGTGTGTGGGTGTGTGCGTAATAAGCTAACAGACAAATCTCCTCCCATGTGGTTCATCCCTCATTGGTTTCTCCTAAATCCCATCCTTCCTTATTCCTAATACTTTCCTTCTTCCTCCATTTTCTTTGTTTTCTTTTTATTCCTTGCTACCCTCCACTCCACTCCACTCCACTCCACTCCACTCCACTCCACTCCACCACATCATTATTCATAACTTCGCGTCTCTACCAAAATTGTGATAAATAGTTTCCAACTCTTCACTTCTATGCTCATTCTATATTTTCTACACATCCTTCATTTTTTATTTATAAATTTCATACTCTCTTTAAAGTATTTGGCAACTTTTAGATATACATATTCTTTGACCATTTATGAAATTAATTTTGAATTTAAACTATATTTTGATTATCTAATTATTTGTTTTCTTCAATGCTGAAATTGTGCTTTTCCGGCTAAAAAGGATGTTGTTTTGGTCATTTTTAGGGGGAAAAATAACTACCACACGCAGTAAAACAATTTTAATGTTTATAAGAATTTGGTCAAACAAAAAGATAAAAGGTTGTCAAATCAAAGGGACCAATAATATAGCTTATAATAGTATCCTTATCTATGGCTTCTTTAGGAATGCAGGAGATGGGATTTCCTACCAAATAATAGTAATAATAAATCTTCTAATAATTTTAATTTTAAATTATAAAATTTGCATAAAATAGTTAGAATTTAGAATTTAGTACCTTAGGATTCATTTCTTAAATATTTTTTACAAAGTTATTTATTAAAATTTTATCAAACCATAGAACTATTTATGAAATTTCAATTTCTAAAACCATAGAAATTAAAATTTAAACTTTTTTCTAAAAAATTAAATGTATAAATACAATTTCCACCTATAAATTTATTTTTTTTGTTATCTACTTCTTATATCTATATCGTCAACCACCAATCCAAAATTTGAAAACTTGAAAAAAAAAAAAAAGTTTGTAAATATTTATTTTATTTTTAAAATTTGACTAAAAATTTAAATATATTTTTTTTAAAGAAAATGAATCTCATTGGAAAGGAATCAAAAATTCAAAAGTAAAAAAAAAAAAAAAAAGAATAAATGAATAATTTGTAGTGGAAGAAAATGTTCTTCAATAACTCAAAACTTATTAAGATACACAAAGACAAACGGATTTAAAGGAGGGAGGGTCCTTCACTACTTTCACGTCTCAGTCAGTACGTTTTGGCATAGCCTCAGTGTCTTCCACAAGCAAATTGTATTCCACATCCCACTGAAATTACCAAAAAACCCCTTTCCTTTTCTCTCTTATTCTCTCTACAGAGCAACGAAACCAAAGCTGAAAAAATGGTCTAAAATGGAAATTAAGTTATTGAAGTAAATGCAGAAACGCCACCGTTTTCCCGACAGCCCCTCCCTTCCATCCTTTTAATTAAACACATTATTTATTAATGTCCTCAGATTTTATTAGGTCAAACATAAATTCTTTATTTTTTATAAATCTTTTAATTTAAATTTAATAAGCGAGATATATATATATATATATATATATATAATTAAGGAAATACAAAGGCAATTCAGATTTTTCCTTCTTTGCCTAATCCATAACACAACCTAACAACAATGATCACAATTTAAAATTAAATTGTTTACAACATCGGCAATTCCATTACAGAAAATTAAAATTAAATCCAAAAATAAAAATAAAATAAAATAAAATAAAAAAGAGACAAAGATTTGACTCGACATCCTCTCATGTCGACTCCATTTGGATACCATCAATCAGACCTGAAAAATAAAAAATAAAAAAATAAAAAATAAAAAATAACATATTGATTAATCAAGATAACAAGCCTCTCAACAAAATTAATTAGATTTTAATATAGTTTAAAGCATGTTTTAAACGTATAAATAGTAAATTCTTGATTTAACCTAAGTTTTTGAATTAATCACGTGGGGGTAGAGACAAGAAAAATATATATTAAGAGGGGAAGATATGATTTCACCTGGTTTTTGTTGTTCTAAAGGGAGCAAGTGTAGCCAGGGGGAGGGGTCTTCCCACAGCTGATAAGGAGCTGAAGGGCAATGGGAACATAGATGTTAAGGCTAAGAGCCTTAATTTTAAGGGTAGTGCAAAGGCAAACCGCCGCTTCCACCTCAGCCAGCCCTGAGAGTACCGGGCAGCATTCGTTCACTGCAGGGTCTCCTAGCCCAATGTGCACCAGCCCGCCCAGAAGATCCACACATGCGCCCAATTTCAGAGTGTCAATTGGGCAGGTCTCTTTCCCTGAAGGGGGGCAGGGCTTCGACGCCGGAGATGGCTTTGTGAGAACTGGAGGGACGGTGACTGGAGGAAGGGTAACGGGAGGGAGGGGTGGGAGGTCGACAGGCGGTTTGACGATGGGGGGGAGGGAAATTGGCGGTTTTACGACGGGAGGGAGGTCGATGGGCGGTTTAACGATGGGGGGGAGGGAAATGGGTGGAAGGCCAATGGGGCCTCCTTTAGGGGACTTGGAACCGGAGCCGGGTTTGACCTTTTTGGGTGGCGGGTTGCCGCAGGCGCCGCAGCCGAAAATGGGTGTGGCGGTGGAGAGGAAAAGCATGCAAAGTAGGAAGAGGGAGTAAATTTTTGAGGACTCCATTTTTTCTTTTTTCGTTTATAATTTTTTAAAATTTTTTTGGGTTGTGGGTTAAAATGAGTGGGAAGGAAGGGTGGGGTTATATAGGAATAGTAAGGAAAAGAAGAAAACAAAAGAGCCCTAAAAACAAATCACGTGAACATGGGGCTATGCCAACCATGATCTAAAGGACATCTTCCTAGTTGGCATTGGCACTTGCAATTTCATTCCCTATCCACTTTTATCAATTTGTAAATTCTATTCAATTCCGATAAATAGAAAATAAAATATCTATGCAAATCAATCTTTTTATCTAAGAATCAACAACTTTGGGATCATTTCTTTCTTTAAATCATTTAAATGAAATAGTGAACTAAGATCGGGATCATCAAATTTCTTTTCTTTGTGATAATATCTCATTATTATGGATTATTTCATACTATGGTTAATAATTTTCAACTAATTCAAGAAATCAATCCGTCTTGTGTGGTCCAACATCAGTTGGAGAGGGAAACGAAACATTTCTTGTACGGGTGTGGAAACCTTTCCTTAGCGGACACGTTTTAAAAAAAGTGTGAGGCTGATGACAACACGTAATGGGCCAAAGTGAACAATATCGGCTAGTGGTAGGCTTGGGCTGTTAAAAATGGTATTAGACCCAAACACCAGGTGTGAGGCCCCTACGAGAGATGGATTGTGAGATCCCACGTAGGTTGAAGAGGGGAAACAAAACATTTCTTACAAGGGTGTGAAAATCTCTCTCTAATAGACACGTTTTAAAACTATGAGATTGATGACGATATGTAATGGACTATAACGATAACAAGTGGTGGATTTTAAAGTCATACATTAGTTGAAAGTTGATGAGAGAAAAGAAACATTTCTTATAAGTGTGTAGAAACCACTCCATACTATGAAGCTAAAAACAATATATAACGGATCAAAGCAGATAATATCTGGTAGTGCTGCACTTAAACCATTACAGTCTATAAGTTACTTCAACGTTGTAATACCAGGTAAAACATGGGGTTTGAAAGAACATGGGATCCTAATTCATTTCAATTATGAGAATAGAAACCCTTTATCCCTGCAATGATTAAGCAATGGGGTCCTTGATAATACAAATCTATGAACACTGCACATTTCAATAATAAAAATAGGAAAAAAAAAAAAAAACAAAACAAAATGATACTGAAAGTTGAAGAACTGAGAGCGAATAATAAATAGAGTGTGGATTTTTGCGAAATAATTAAAAAGGTAGCAATTAATGTGAACCAGCTCATTCATGCCGATTCCTTCATAATTTTGCATGGGAATTTCTGAAGAACAATAATTGTTCAGCTCCAAGCTTAAACCGCTGATTCCAACATAATTTGTGATACAAATCGTTTTTCACCGCGTTTCTTGTAGTTTGCTATAGATGTAGGTAGGCAGGTAGCTAGCGTTTCTTGTTTCAATTTGTTTGCCCGTTTGCCTAATTGGAACACGAAAACAAAGAAGCGAGAGGGATTTGAGAGATAGCATACAGCTAGCAGGCATGTGGGGGTGCCCATGCATGGTATCTACAGCAACAGGTCACACCACAAAGATGTATATTACAACAACCAATGTCTCAACATATCTATATTATCCTTCAGTTTTTAGCTCAAATCCCGACGTCTTGAAGGCTTCGTCTCGATACAAATGTCATTTTTATTTTTGTTAACTTACTACGTGGATGGAAAAGATTCCAATAAGTTGAATTATGTTCAATTTGTAACAGTCCAAGCCCATTGAAGGTGAATTGTGAGATTCCACATTGGTGGTGGGAGAAAAAAAAAAAAACATTTCTTATAAGTGTATGAAAACTTCTTCCTAACATACGTGCTTGCGTGAAGGGAAACACAACAAGAACAATATTTGCTAGTTATAGGTTTGAGCTTGAGCTATTATACAATTGGATATTTATAGTTTGATCAAATCTCATTAGTTATTGACTATTATTGTATTGAGTAATAAATATATCACGTTTTGAAATAATCATTGATTGTATTAGAGTTTAGGGCTAAGTAAAAATAAGAGAAAACATGTAAACGACATATAGATCAAATTGAAACTTTTGAAATAATAGATACCAAATTGAACAACTCTATGATGATGCATTATTTTCATTTCTAAACCGAGCAAAAAAGAGTTGAGTAAAGGAAGGAACGGAGAGGAAGAATGTAACCACCCAAATTCATCACTAGTCACCCTCACTGTTTTAAAACTTATCAAAGATTTCCACACCCTTACCTCTCATGGGGGCCAGTATTCTCGATGACACATAGTTCGGTGTTTGACTCTGATACCATTTGTAATCGCCCAAACTCACGATTAGCAGATATTGTCCGCTTTGACCGTTACGTATCACCATCAATCGTACAAAAAGTTTATACACTTTTATAAGTAATGCTTCATTTTTATCTACAACCAAGGTGCAATTTTATACTAAAAAAAAAATTAATTATTTGTACGTAAATTTGAATTAACGTGAGTGTACAGTGGAAAGTGTTTGTGTGAAGGAGGAGAGGAGAGAGAGAGAGAGAGGCATGTGGGTGGATGGTGAAGGAAAGGTGTGTGAGCCATGGGGGGAATGAGGTTAAAAGAGATCAAGCTGTATGGTTTTTTGTCAGCTTGTGAGATCCGTGATTTTGCTGTCCTCATCATTGATGTGATTGCTTCTTTCTTTCTTTCCTCTCCAATATCTTCTCCTTCCCATTTTATCTTATTTTCTTAACTTTACTCATTTAATTTTAAAATAATACATCTTAACTAACTCTAATTTTTTTTAATACAAAAAATATATATGAGTTACTACAAATATATAATAATATTATACTTACCGTTTTATAAACATTCCGAAAACATATTAACCAAAAATATATATTTTAATATGAAGATTAATATGGTAAAAGAAATGAAATTGACGTAGTTTGTAATAATTAGGAGCATCTCAATTTACTTTTAAAGAAAGGCAATAATGTAAGGGAACTTTTTGATATATATATATATATATATATATATATATATATATATATAATATATATTTTTCAAGAGGTTGGTAATTAATAAAAATTGGCTATATTGGCTAATTATTCAGAAAAATGAGACGACACAAAATCAGAGCTGTTTCCTGACTTTGCATGGGAAGGGGATGGCAGAGCTATTAATGGGTTTTTGTTGTGTGCGATGTCGCGTAGAGTAACATTTCTTCTTTCCCACTCATGGCTGTGGATGCAGGACGGAGATCTACGATCGAGTGGCTCTTCTTCCTTTTATGAACGCCCACTTGGGTGAAGTACATCAGTTGATTTCTACCACACATTCCGTGGACCCCACCCCCTAACTTTTAACTTATTATTTTTTACTTTTAAATTTCTTTTTATAAAAAACGAAAAGGTAACTTTTAAAATTTACTTCCAAACGTATTTTAAAACACTTCAAAATTAAATTTATATTTTTGCTATAATACTATATTCAATCAAAACTAAATTGATCAATTACAAGAAATTTAATATATATAGATATGTTTTTGAAGAAAGAATATATTGCGAAATATGAACAAAGAACTTTAAGATGAAGATGAAATATTCTAGTCGTCATGGGAAAGAAAGGAAGAAAGAAGAACATCCACCGTGATACGGACTCGCACACCAGAATCAATGAGGTTTTACGAAAAAACGCTAATTGTGCTGGGAAGAGACTGAAACAGAAATCCTCGAAGACTCGGAAGTGGGCCCCGGACCCTGACTTTCCAGCAATCAAACAAAAAATCTCTCATTTCAAATGAGAATCGTTAGATATGAATTCATGAACTTCACTTATTTTTGAATTCAAATGTGTGGGATGGAGAGCCATTGGGAAAGTGGCAAAGTGGCAGATAAAGAACTTATGATAATAGTACGACTTCTTGTGAAGAACCAGCCAAGTCAAAAGATGGTAGATTGTGAAAATGGTTTGAAGTATAGGGCCTATAGTTAGATGCGTGTTTGACATGTCTTTTCAAAGAAAGTGTTTCTAGGTGAAATGTTCATTTTTTTTAGAGTTGAGTTTGAAAGTTTTAACTCGAGTTTCGTTGCATAAAAGAGATCTTTAACATTAATATGATATTGATAAGAAAAAGAATCACTACAAGGGGAGTAAGAATCGGATTACCTTGTTGATCGAATATCTCAAGGCAAGAATATTGCTTGAGATTCAAATCACTCTACAAGCAAGATCGATCATGTCTAGCTTGAATGATTCTTGTTGATCAAATATCTCAAACACTTGTTTGAGATTCGAATCACTCCACAAGCAAGATTGATCATGTCGAGCTTGAATGATTCTACATGCAACCTAAACTAAGTAGAATTGCAAATAAACTTAGCCATTGGCTAAAGAAAACACAAATGCTTCTTTTACTATATATTTCCCAAGTCTCTCACCAATACAACATACATGGCTTTATATAGCCTCAAAATGAAACTACTAAAAGACATTCCAAGAGTTGTAACATTCATATCATAATTAACCATTATGTAATTGTAAAATAAAAAGTTCTAAAAACTCTAAATTACTTTAAATTGTAACCCACCCAAAATTTATAACCATCAAACTTCATTCTTCTTCAATGTGACATGAATTGAAACATCTTTTGATAATTTTGACAACTTTTTCTTCACATCTTCATTGAATTATATTGTATGACTGATGTTTTTTGGTTCATATCAGATACTTAGGGGAGGTGACACAAAGTGGAGTTGTGTTCTAAGTCAAATTGCCGTAATTGAAGGGAGAGTGAGCTCTTTATGTTTATAACCGTAATCCCATCGACAACATCATAACAGTTCAAGGGGTCAACTTTGTTAGCGGATGGGATATTGGATACTTCAACCTGGGCTCATCGATTGACTCATGACGTATTTTCCTTACGAGTAATTAATTGAGATGCTCAATTCGGTCCCACAAATCTTTGACGAGCCTTCAATTTGGGCTCATTCATTGATTCATAGTGTATTTTCCTTATGAGTAATCAATTGAGAGTGCTCAATTCAGTCTCACAGCCTTCGACTTGGGCTCATTGG